TTGAGTCTATAGAAAGGGTTATAAAATGTATGAACTGATGATACAATACAACTTTTGAAACACAATACAAAACATAACACAATATTTATGTCTATAAGTATAATAACGTAACGTTTCACTGACTGCATAATCAAAAGTAACATGAATGATTAGCTATTAACAATAATTATTATGGGATTTTTGTCAGAGATGGGATTTTTTTTCAGACAGTCCGGGTTTTCGGGCGTGACGAGAGAACGCTTTAACCACGATGGCTACCCCATCGCTGCTAACAAGGGGTGGATGAGCAGGGGTAGCAACATTCTATAAGGTCATCATATGTCATAAGTAATTTATAAACGCACGTTGGCGCTAAATTGAGGTAATTTAAAAAAACAAAAACACATGTAAATTCAACGTTCAATTTTACTTGAGTCACATCACCATACCTTTCAGAACAACAGAACAGTCAGAATGTATTTTGGGGGTAAAATCTGAGGAAATATGCATCAGCAGACACACATTCCACAATCCACACCCTACAACCCCCTTCACATTGTACTTACCAAGGTGGTAGTGGTAGTGGTCCCTATTAACGTATAGCAATCATAAAGATATTCTCTAAATGGAATGTCTCCAGACACCGACCTCATGGGACGAAGTAACTGTGGACGACATGTATATATCATCGCCACAATATTCATTTGCTTGAACTCAATAGTAGCTCCGATTTCACTCGTGTTACTGGATAAATGATTTTGAATCAATATATTGTCATTGTTGTAGTACAAGGTTTGTGCATTTTTATCTAACGCGATGTCAAATATCTTTGTACATGTACCTTCAAATAAAAATCTTCTTATTCTTACCTTCATATGTATATGACAGATTTTTATAATATAACCGATATAGAACATTTTATTATTTGTATCAAGACAAAGTGAGAAAGCAACCTTCATCAGTTTGACAAAGCACCTGTATCATTTCCCCTCGGGAGTCATTTTGCAGACAGCGCGACGTGGTTTCCAGGTGGTCACGAACACAAGATTCTGGTTGTCATCCACTGCAATGTCTCTGACGGCTACTTTCCTTTTCAGGATCACTTGATGCTGCCCGCCATCAACAGGTTACGGAACGATGTTATAGCACCGTACCACACAGTACAATGACACACATTTAATCAAGTCACCGAATTTCACCACAGCACTAAATGTCTGGTATCTGGGAACCAACTCAATCTGATCATGACAATACCTGATCCACCTTGCGCATTACATCACCATCGAAGAACCATTCATTGTTTCTTTCATTTTAAACCACTATCAAATATGGATGTATACTTTCTTTTTAGCCGTCAGTTTATGTTCAGATATAAGAAACAATCGTGGAGATTCAAGTTGACATTCCAGTTTAGAAAATTTCTCAAGCAAACGATGCTTGTTGAAAGTGGTGACTTATGGGTCGGGTTGTTAGGCTCGATGGCGTTGTTGATGGCTTGACATCGTACAGAGAAGGCGTGGGACGTTAAGTACAAGTTTCAATCAAAACTGGTTTGTCTACTCAGGCAAAAACACAACCTGCTCATACTCTGGTGTTCATCAACCACCATAGACAACTATCAGTTTGCATGGGCCATTGAAATCGTATTCACTTATCAACCGTGCGCAAGATACGTGCATGTAAATTACTTAGAGTTATGGCGGACTAGGCATCATATACTGAACCGCAAAAGAAACGTCACCATGGATAGACATATGAGAAACCTTATTTGTCCAAACACTGTAAACAAACTTTGAGACATATTAAAAAGATGAAAATTGGCAAAACTAATCATCAAGGTTGAAATTAAAGTGTCAAATGTTCTTAGAATGAAACACAACACTAGTCTCTGAGAAAATGGCATCACAAGTCAGTATCTCGTGTGTCCGCCATGTGCATTGATGACTGCCGTGCAACGTCGATACATGGAATAGATGAGACGGTTGATGAAGGCAATAGGCACTTTAGCCCACACTCTGAGGAACGCCTGACGCAGTTCAGCAGTTGCAGCGCAAGACCAATTCCACCCCACACCATGATGCTCGTACCACACCACAAGTCTTTCTCAACAACACAAACATCCGAATAACGTTCCCCACGGCGACGCAAGACTCTCTCTCTCTGCCATCTGCTGTTGAGATACAGTAACGGCTCTCGTCTGAGAAGAGGACTCTTCTCCACTGCTGATGGCGCCAATGCTGGTGCTGTGTTTCCCACTGAAGACGGTCCCAGCGATGACGTGGTGTCAGAATGGGTCCTCGGTGAGCCCTGTGACAGAGGAGGTGTCTGCTCGTCAGTCGTCGACGCACGGTGTCCGCACTAATGTGTCCCCATGGTCTGTCGAGATGCTGTCGCACAATCTGACGATCCTGACGTCAGGTGGTGACCCTTGGTCTACCACTCTGTGGTCGGCCATCTGTAGTGTTGGTGGTCTGGTACCGTTGCTGGAGCTTACGTGGACTTGAAATGCATTGGCTACTTGCCGGGCGGTTTGTCCAGCATACAATCGTACAAGGGCTTGGCGTCGCTGATTTCTTGTCAATCTTGACATGTGGTAGCAATTCAATAACGAATGAATGTTATCCGATCTGGGTGGATTTTTATAGGGCAACAAATGTGGGAAGGCATGTGCATTTCAATTTGCACGGAACTCACGTGCATCAGGCTACCATGGCCGTTGTCGTGATGCGTTTGAGCGATCGGTTTCATCTGCTTTGTTTTTGTATCATCAAATTTAGTTTTTCCGGAGAAGGTAATGTTAAATTTTAGAAACTTTGACAAAAATTACCCAGATATTTAAATGACAACTTTTCATGCAATGTTACTTGGGGTGACGTTTTCTTTTTCATGTGCTTGCCGTGGAATCTGATAAACGTGGGAGCGTGTTGCCACTTTAAGCCCGATAGGGTGAAGATTGTTGTAAAGATGTAATCCTTGAATAATAAATATAACCCATCTTACTGGTTTGAAATATCATTGTTGTGACTTTTCATAAGAGCCATTATCCAGTGCATTATGTCTATGTTTTAATATGATACACTTCTTCGCTCAGACAGGACGCCTTCATGGTCGAGATGTAGAGCGTGTCCCTGGAGAACAGAAGGTCCGGGGTTCCATCCCTAGCCGCGTCCTACCATACGACGTTAAAAGATGGTACTTGGTGCTACCTTGCCTCGCGTTCGGCATTGAGGGTCTAAAACAACGACTGGTCGGCTGGGAGTTAGTATGCTGTTTCTGTCCACAGACTTTTGCTAGCAAATATACATACATTGTACACATTGGATGTTTCCTGATCTTGTAAAGACAACCCGAGAGAGTTTTCCCGAGCATTAATGATGATGCTGTAGTTCATGTCTCTTCTGGAAACATGGACTATGTTGGATGTTATAAAGGTCCAAACAAGAGTTCAAAAACAACCTTTACTGGTCGTCCAGGCAGTACTCTACTGCTCCAGTTCGATTATTTACAGACCACCTTCATAGACCTGGAATATGTCCTATTGTGGCGTTAGACAACCAACAAACGTACAGAACAATCTTGTGAACAGAGAACAATATGCTGTATTTGTGTAGGTGTCTGACACTGTTTACCTTGCAGACATATGTATTCAGCAGAAACCTACAATATTTACACCAGAATTGTCGACAATAACCCTTGCACATTTCCGCTCCCACTGGCTGCTTCTGTTGGTTCAAGGCTTGGCATACAATGACGATTTCACGGACACAGGCAAGAAGGACGACATTGATATGATTTGGTGCCATCTTTTGTCTCTATACAACCTTGGACAGAAACACGACAGAGACACAATGCTGCTTATAGAACCAGACCAGTTCCATCCAGTAATGCGTAAATAATCTATATTGTTGAAGTGATAAAGGTGATCAATATATCCACGAGGAGACCGACATCAGTTCCAACTCAATGATCTCTTTTAGAAAGTGACAGTTTTGGAAATTACTACTGAATAGTTTATATTTATTGTCGAAACCATTCACACACACATGACCAGTGAAGCTAAAAGTCTGAGAATAAAGATCACGCCTTCAGAAATGTATTCTTAGTTGCTTAATGGTTCTGCTTATTCTATTTCGAACCAATGTTTGTAGCACAGGGCAGAGCGGGTATGTTCAGCTGAGTGTATTTCAATAACAGACAAATATATGCGAGCCTTTGGCGAGAGTAATAACCTGAGGGCCAACAGAAAGTATGCTGAGTTGGGTTTATAATGCAGTTGCATATTGAAAGAGCTGTTGTTAAATTTGATAATGTCTATTTAATAAGCACTCGTTGCTGCAACAGATTGAAGAAAGTAAAAAGAAGAGTGAGTGAGTATGGTTTTACGCCGCTTTAGCAATGTTGCATCAATATCACGGCTGGGGGCAACATAAATGGGCTTCACACTGTATCCATATGGAGAATCGAATCGAACTAGGGTCTCCGGCGTGACGGCTTTAACCTGTGGGCTACCCCACCGTTCTGTGTAATAGTGTATTGGTTCAATGGAGATGAGATGTTTGGAAAAGTTGTAAACGCAAGCTGAACAAAAGTGAAATATATTGATTTTCAAAAATAACACACTGAACATAATATCGGTAGCTTTCGATAAGTTTTTGTTTCCTTTGCTTCTCAGTTTACATAGTTTTTATTCCTAATATATGATATTTACGATACAGAAACGAACGAGGCTAAGAAGATCTTTATCATATCATGGATTTCTTAAAGTAATCAATGTTTACAAAACTATTTTTTTTCAATACAGTAACTTTAGAAACCGCGTATCAATACACTGCTTGGGTGGGCAGAACTCACTCACTCACTCACTCACTCACTCACTCACACACACCCAATCACCCAGCCACCCAACCACCCCCCTACACACCCGCTCACTCACTCACTCACTCACTCTATACGTTACTGACCAAGAAGCGAAGGAATATAAATTTCACCGTACATTTTATTGTTATATCGTTTGGTCGTCGTATACTTACAAAACCATTACATACATTCAAGGTCACAAAGGCAAAGAGAAACGTTTATGTAATGGGCATGTCAAATTGAACACGTTATACTCAGTAAGATGGCATTGATTATTTCATCACATAACCGATTCCCAATTAATGTGGTTTCATTCACTAATATCCGTCTGGCTGGCCACCCTTTCGTAGATCACAAGCACTGTGCCTCATGTTGTCCTTGACCCTGACTATATTGACAACTGATGTGAGTCCGTAGCCTGTGACGTTGTGGCCTTTAGCAATGAGACCATTCAGCACTGCCTGCATTGGAATAAGATATGGAATATCGATGACGATAGAATCTAAGGACCGGAACACTGTTGCTCTTAAGAAAAGATAACATCTTAAACGTTAACAACAATTCCCTGATTCGCCTGGAAAGCTGCCTTCAAAGAGTCACCCTCAATATATAGTGGGGGACATCTCACATGTTGAACTTCCTCAATATACACTGTGACACACATATGCATGTGATAAACCTCACCTGTTGAACGTCCTCCTCAATACACACAGTGACACACATATGCATGTGATTAACCTCACCTGTTGAACGTCCTCCTCAATACACACAGTGACACACATATGCATGTGATAAACCTCACCTGTTGATCGTCCTCCTCAATACACAAAGTGACACACATATGCATGTGATAAACCTCACCTGTTGAACGTCCTCCTCAATACACACAGTGACACACATATGCATGTGATAAACCTCACCTGTTGAACGTCCTCCTCAATACACACAGTGACATTCATATGCATGTGATAAACCTCACCTGTTGAACGTCCTCCTCAATACACACAGTGACACACATATGCATGTGATAAACCTCACCTGTTGAACGTCCTCCTCAATACAGAAAGTGACACACATATGCATGTGATAAACCTCACCTGTTGAACGTCCTCCTCAATACACACAGTGACATTCATATGCATGTGATAAACCTCACCTGTTGAACGTCCTCCTCAATACACAAAGTGACACACATATGCATGTGATAAACCTCACCTGTTGAACGTCCTCCTCAATACACACAGTGACACACATATGCATGTGATAAACCTCACCTGTTGAACGTCCTCCTCAATACACACAGTGACACACATATGCATGTGATAAACCTCACCTGTTGAACGTCCTCCTCAATACACAAAGTGACACACATATGCATGTGATAAACCTCACCTGTTGATCGTCCTCCTCAATACACACAGTGACACACATATGCATGTGATAAACCTCACCTGTTGAACGTCCTCCTCAATACACAAAGTGACACACATATGCATGTGATAAACCTCACCTGTTGAACGTCCTCCTCAATAAACAAAGTGACACACATATGCATGTGATAAACCTCACCTGTTGAACGTCCTCCTCAATACACACAGTGACACACATATGCATGTGATAAACCTCACCTGTTGAACGTCCTCCTCAATACACACAGTGACACACATATGCATGTGATAATCCTCACCTGTTGAACGTCCTCCTCAATACACACAGTGACACACATATGCATGTGATAAACCTCACCTGTTGAACGTCCTCCTCAATACAGAAAGTGACACACATATGCATGTGATAAACCTCACCTGTTGAACGTCCTCCTCAATACACACAGTGACACACATATGCATGTGATAAACCTCACCTGTTGAACGTCCTCCTCAATACACAAAGTGACACACATATGCAAGTGATAAACCTCACCTGTTGAACGTCCTCCTCAATACACAAAGTGACACACATATGCATGTGATAAACCTCACCTGTTGAACGTCCTCCTCAATACACAAAGTGACACAAATATGCATGTGATAAACCTCACCTGTTGATCGTCCTCCTCAATACACACAGTGACACACATATGCATGTGATAAACCTCACCTGTTGAACGTCCTCCTCAATACACAAAGTGACACACATATGCATGTGATAAACCTCACCTGTTGAACGTCCTCCTCAATACACAAAGTGACACACATATGCATGTGATAAACCTCACCTGTTGAACGTCCTCCTCAATAGACACAGTGACACACATATGCATGTGATAAACCTCACCTGTTGAACGTCCTCCTCAATACACACAGTGACACACATATGCATGTGATAATCCTCACCTGTTGAACGTCCTCCTCAATACACACAGTGACACACATATGCATGTGATAAACCTCACCTGTTGAACGTCCTCCTCAATACAGAAAGTGACACACATATGCATGTGATAAACCTCACCTGTTGAACGTCCTCCTCAATACACACAGTGACACACATATGCATGTGATAAACCTCACCTGTTGAACGTCCTCCTCAATACACAAAGTGACACACATATGCATGTGATAAACCTCACCTGTTGAACGTCCTCCTCAATACACAAAGTGACACACATATGCATGTGATAAACCTCACCTGTTGAACGTCCTCCTCAATACACACAGTGACACACATATGCATGTGATTAACCTCACCTGTTGAACGTCCTCCTCATTACACAAAGTGACACACATATGCATGTGATAAACCTCACCTGTTGAACGTCCTCCTCAATACACACAGTGACACACATATGCATGTGATTAACCTCACCTGTTTATCGTCCTCCTCAATACACACAGTGACACACACATGCATGTGATAAACCTCACCTGTTGATCGTCCTCCTCAATACACACAGTGACACACATATGCACGTGATTAACCTCACCTGTTGAACGTCCTCCTCAATACACAAAGTGACACACATATGCATGTGATAAACCTCACCTGTTGAACGTCCTCCTCAATACACACAGTGACACACATATGCAAGTGATTAACCTCACCTGTTGATCGTCCTCCTCAATACACACAGTGACACACATATGCATGTGATAAACCTCACCTGTTGAACGTCCTCCTCAATACACACAGTGACACACATATGCATGTGATAAACCTCACCTGTTGAACGTCCCCCTCAATACACACAGTGACACACATATGCATGTGATAAACCTCACCTGTTGAACGCCCTCCTCAATACACACAGTGACACACATATGCATGTGATAAACCTCACCTGTTGAACGTCCTCCTCAATACACACAGTGACACACATATGCATGTAATAAACCTCACCTGTTGAACGTCCTCCTCAATACACAAAGTGACACACATATGCATGTGATAGACCGCACCTGTTGAACGTCCTCCTCAATACACACAGTGACACACATATGCATGTGATAAACCTCACCTGTTGAACGTCCTCCTCAATACAGAAAGTGACACACATATGCATGTGATAAACCTCACCTGTTGAACGTCCTCCTCAATACACAAAGTGACACACATATGCATGTGATAAACCTCACCTGTTGAACGTCCTCCTCAATACACACAGTGACACACATATGCATGTGATAAACCTCACCTGTTAAACGTCCCCCTCAATACACAAAGTGACACACATATGCATGTGATTAACCTCACCTGTTGAACGTCCTCCTCAATACACAAAGTGACACACATATGCATGTGATAAACCTCACCTGTTGAACGTCCTCCTCAATACACACAGTGACACACATATGCATGTGATAAACCTCACCTGTTGAACGTCCTCCTCAATACACACAGTGACACACATATGCAAGTGATAAACCTCACCTGTTGAACGTCATCCTCAATACACACAGTGACACACATATGCAAGTGATTAACCTCACCTGTTGATCGTCCTCCTCAATAGACACAGTGACACACATTTGCATGTGATAAACCTCACCTGTTGAACGTCATCCTCAATACACACAGTGACACACATATGCATGTGATAAACCTCACCTGTTGAACGTCCTCCTCAATACACACAGTGACACACATTTGCATGTGATAAACCTCACCTGTTGAACGTCCTCCTCAATACACACAGTGACACACATATGCAAGTGATAAACCTCACCTGTTGAACGTCCTCCTCAATAGACACAGTGACACACATTTGCATGTGATTAACCTCACCTGTTGATCGTCCTCCTCAATAGACACAGTGACACACATATGGAAGTGATTAACCTCACCTGTTGAACGTCCTCCTCATACACAATGTAACACACATTTGCATGTGATAAACCTCACCTGTTGAACGTCTGCCTCAATACACACAGTGACACACATATGCATGTGATAAACCTCACCTTTGGAAAGCCATCTTCAACTGATAATGTGGACGGCAAAAGCTGGTGATGAAGACGTTTGTGGTCCAGGGCTTCTCCGGCACCCTGCCCAAACTTGAGGGTATGTAGTGTTACCTATACAGAAACAAACGTGAAGACGGGTGCATCTGAAATATATTCTGTCAGTGACACGTCATGATTGATGTGCATCAATGTTCTGCAGTGTCACAAAATTGTTAAGGTGTATGTGCAACATATTCCGTCAGTGATTTAACTTCTTTCAGTGGCATTTAGACGTTGGTGTGATGAAGTAAGACAAGTTCTATGGATGAACATCTTCTTTATAACAATTAGTGCGACGTTTCGGTGTAGATCCTGACACCTTCCTCAAGCAAGTGATGTCACTTACTTGATAAAGGTGTTAGGATCTACACCGAAACGTCGCACTTATTGTAATAAAGAAGTTGTTCATCCTTTGTGATTTAACATCGTTAATTATCATGTGCACACCAATCATCAGTGATAACCGGAGTTACATTATGGCTGGACCAACCAGTCACTGCGCAGTCCAATCAAGAGCGCTGAACGAACCAGACGTCCGGTTCGTAAATAACATGGACTTTAACATGCATATTCCAGGATTTGCAAAGCATGTGTCCCGCCAACTCGGCATCGATAGATGTTTTGCAATTCTTCATGTTTTCAATCAAGCTGCTCAAATGATTTGATGCACTTCGCAAAGGAAGACCCGTTTTTTCACAATATAAATCTTGATTATCGATGAGATTGTTTTGACGGGCGTCGCCATTTTGTACAATATATTTTGCCAAACTAACATTAATGTCAACATAAAGCGAGTGACTGAATGTTTGAGATTAAATCTTCCCTCTTGCTACTGCCAAGCTAGGATCTGAACACATCCCATTACGGGTCACGTCGGAACGCCCTCCCTTCTACCAATCAAAACGGCGCTTACTAGACAGTCGGAATGTGTTTCAAAGCCCAGTCCGGAATGAGGTGAGGTGAGATCAAATTGGGATTAACGTCGCCTTCAACATTATTGCACTTATATGGCTACGTGCATGTGAGCGCGTGTGTGTGTGTGTGTGTGTGTGTGTGTGTGTGTGTGTGTGTGTGTGTGTGTGTGTGTGTGTGTGTGTGTGTGTGTGTGTGTGTGTGTGTGTGTGTGTGTGTGTGCGTGAATGGGTGATGTCGAGTTTTGGTAACTCACTTCAATGGTAGGTACTAATCGGGGCGAACCAGGACTCGAACCCACGATCGAAGGTTGATGTTATGACAAGGGACGCAACTCTGCACAGCAAATTGCTGCGCCTTTGACGACTAAACCACCCGTGCCCCCATATGGTATTATAGTTTCGAGCCTGATTACACGTTTGCATGATTTTAGGTCTAAATCTGTAATGGTGATTCGTGTTTTGCTTGTGGTGGTGTACTTCAACATACCAATGCTGCAGCTGTTGTAATCTTTGGGCCACCAGCTCCTCCCAAAACCAAGATGACGTCACCGGAGTTATCTACCACAACAGTAGGACACATTGACGACAGAGGGCGCTTTCTGGGTTTGATATAATTGGCGGGTGATGCTGGCACACCGTACACGTTGACAGTACCGGGTGTCGAGAAGTCGTCCATTTCATTGTTATAAATTATTCCTGTTGTCTTACCAAGAACTTTCGATCCAAAACTGAATAGGAAAGAAGTTGTAACATACATTATACATATGAATAATAAATGTCCTTTAATCTTTTAAACGGAACCTCAGAAAAATCAGATACAATAAGTTATCAGTATAAGAAAACATATACAGTCACACAACGTTATGTCGAACTTTGACGTGTCGAACTTACGGTTGTCTCGAAGTAAAACAGTCCCTGCTCGTTTCTTCTTCGATCAGTGATACCCCCAGCGTTCGCCAAAGGGGTAAAAATATGTTTTTCACCATTGTTTGCCTTACATCTTAAAACTGATCGATGTCAAGTTGGACTCACAAGTAATTTATGGTTGATGTTATCGCAACGGCGTTTCCCTCCGCATCTACAACAGAGAGGTGCGTGGTTCCTTGGTCTAGCGCACTGGAGAAGGTAGCACCATAGTACTTGGCGTCGTGAGTTGCTGCGTCATCAATCTTGGCCCGGGTAGAATCTCCAAATTCCCGAGATGTCATGTTTTTCATCAACTTAAACACGATCACAAACACAGATGACATTAAAGAGGCATTCCAGTCGGAATTACATGCAGGTGAATTGCCATTTTCGCATGTTTGTTTGGCCATAACGGGCGACTAATGGGATCGGGTGGTCAGACTCACTGACTTGTTATATGCACGTCATCGTATCCAAATTATGTAGTTCGATACTCATGAATGGAATGTCTGGTCCAGATTCGATTATGTACAGACCGCCGTCAATGAGCTGGGATATTGCTGAGTGCGGCGTTAAACAAGAAACAAACAAACTTACATCTGCCACGTCTTCAAAATCTTCATCACCAAGTTCTGATCTTTTGGCATATGCGAACTTGAAAGCCTCCACTATTCTGTGGTATGTCAGTATGCTGTTGTCATCATTCGAGACACTTTCACTCGTGAAGTTGTACCCTGCAAATGTAACTTGATATATACACACTGGGGCACGATGCCAGCTAACAATATTACATGTTACAGGCATTCATGAAGTGCAGACTATTTAATAGGTGGCCATCATCTAACTTCATGTCACGTCTAAAGTACACCTTTGAACAGGCTTGACATATCATGCTACTAAAACATCATCGTATTCAATGTTTAAAGCTATTTTTTAACACAGGAGTACCCCAATAGCATATCAGTCAGAAATCTAAAGTGGCCCTGGCTCAGTTTTGATGTTTTTGTTTCTATTTCGATGTTTTTTTTCAGATCAATTGCATTTAGAAACTGGTAGACATGTTAATATACCAAAAAGTGGTCGATTATGTATATGTTGTAATTCTTTATATATTAAGGATGAATATCTATTCCTACTAGTTTGCTATGCACTATAACAGTTACGTACAAAATATATACAAGACACCATTAGCCTTCCTCCTAATAAGCGGTACTTGATTTCAAAATCTAGCTATGCACCTTTATCGTGATAACACCTACGTTAAACAATTGTATGTATGTATGTATGTGTGTGTGTGTGTGTGTGTGTGTGTGTGTGTGTGTGTGTGTGTGTGTGTGTGTGTGTGTGTGTGTGTGTGTGTGTGTGTGTGTGTGTGTGTGTGTGTGTGTGTGTGTGTGTGTATGTATGTATGTATGTGGGTGGTTGGATGGGTGGGTATGTGGGTAGGTAGGTATGTGGGTAGGTGGGAAGGTAGGTAGGTAGGTAGGTAGGTAGGTAGGTAGGTAGGTAGGTAGGTAGGTAGGTAGGTAGGTAGGTAGGTAGGTAGGTAGGTAAGTAGGTAGGTAGGTAGGTATCTTCGGAGCACAAAGCTTCAATTCATATCTATTACGCAGATACATGGCATCCAACATTTTCGAACTACAACTGTTTATGTCATATCTGCAGTCAGTGACGATGCGGATTACACAGAGCCATAGATAAACCACCCATGCATGGTTAGCATAGTGAAGCTGTACAAGGTATACGGCCAGGGTTGTACGCCTTTTCAGAATAAAGAACGATTTGTCTGCAGCAGTTAATGAAAACATCCTGCCTCTACCATAAACTCCAACTGGGTGGTGGCTTTTCTTTTGTGATAAGTGTCACTGTTTCATTGTGTTTCATATTGGAACAGCTTAACCTACTGATGACTAAATGTGAATAGTTTGACTGAAAGGGCGGACAATCGGTCGAAGCAGCACCTCGCTATGTTTCGTGAGAGAATATGTTTCTGTTAAATCGTGTATGTACGATTACAAATCACAGACTAATTCTTTTTGACTAGCAATAATAGTTCGCGTTATTGTGCATATTGTGGCTGGTGCTACGTTAAAACAGAACATGCTTTCCCTTTTCGGGAGCACCTGGTGTCATCACTGATATTTAGTGATCTTTTATATAATTTTCACCAGTGTTTTGCCTTTTACACCCAGTTTCGGCAGATAATGGAGACTGATTATTTTCTGGCGTTTTGTAAATATCCTGTCTCTCGAGGACGGTATCGCGTTCTACTTGACTGTTCATTCTACTTCCCATTGAGGTGAAAATATATCCTTGTTTGTTAGATTAATGAGCCAAATATTATAGAATTCCAGTAGTTAGTATAAAGACAAGTGAGTTATACATAGAGAAACGAACCCGAGTGTCTTTTGATATCAAATATATGAACAGGAGTAGATAAAAGTGGCAAAACTCCGAGGCTTGCCGGGGATTTTTTCCACTTTTATCAACAAGTGTTGATGTATTTGATATCAAAAGACATGATGGTGAGATTTTATTTATCATCCTACATCAATCTTCCAACTTCTTCAGTTTGTAAAGCAGTGTCTTTAGTGTTCTTCAAAGCATTGTGATGCAATTTCATTGCAGCGATATCTACACTGTAGATATCGCTTGATCTCACCCAAGCGACATCTCCTGAGGGAGCCAGTTTTTGATAATAACAAACACGCCCATCTTCATAAGCCACGCATTGATGTATAGAAACAAAGTTAAAATGTATGTGACGTCTCTGTACTAAAGGTACTATAGGACTATAGGACTTTTGACTTAGTGTTTGATCATGAATAAAGAATGAAAAGAAGACTATACCGTCTAGGACATTGGGGACAATGATGACATATCGCCTGGACATTGAGAAAGGAGCCATATCGTCTAGGACATTGGGGACAATGATGACATACCGTCTTGGACATTGGTGACAAGGCCATACCGTCTAGGGCATTAAGGACAAGGCCATACAGACTAAGACATTGGAGACCAGGCCATACCGTCTAGGACATTGAGGGTAAGGCCATACCTTCTAGGACATTGGAGACCAGGCCATACCGTCTTGGACATTGGTGACAAGGCTATACCGTCTAGGACATTGAGGACCGGGCCATACCGTCTTGGACATTGGTGACAAGGCTATACCGTCTAGGACATTGAGGACAAGGCCATACCGTCTTGAACATGGAGACCAGGCAATACCGTCTAGGACATTGGGGACAAGGCCATACCTTCTAGGACATTGGAGACCAGGCCATACCGTCTTGGACATTGGAGACCAGGCCATACCGTCTAGGAAATTGAGGACAAGGCCATACCTTGTAGGACATTGGGGACAAGGCTATACCGTCTAGGACATTGAGGACAAGGCCATACCGTCTAGGACATTGGAGACCAGGCCATACCGTCTAGGACATTGGGGACATGGCAATACCGTCTAGGACATTAAGGGTAAGACCATACCTTCTAGGACATTGGACACCAGGCCATACCGTCTTGGACATTGGAGACCAGGCCATACCGTCTAGGACATTGAGGACAAGGCCATACCGTCTGGGACATTGGAGACCAGGCCATACCGTCTAGGACATTGGAGACCAAACCATACCGTCTACGACATTGAGGACAAGGCCATACCGTCTAGGAGGTTGGGGACAAGGCAATACCGTCTAGGACATTGAGGACAAGGCATTACCATCTAGGACATTGAGGACAAGGCAATACCGTCTTGGACATTGGAGACCAGGCCATACCGTTTAGGACATTGGAGACCAGGCCATACCGTCTAGGACATTAAGGGTAAGACCATACCATCTAGGACATTAAGGGTAAGACCATACCGTCTTGGACATTAGAGACCAGGCCATACCGTCTTGGACATTAGAGACCAGGCCATATCGTCTAGGACATTGGGGACAAGGCAAAACCGTCTTGGACATTAGAGACCAGGCCATACCGTCTTGGACATTAGAGACCAGGCCATACCGTCTAGGACATTGGGGACAAGGCCATACCGTCGAGGACATTGGAGACCAGGCCATACCGTCTTGGACATTAGAGACCAGGCCATACCGTCTAGGACATTGGGGACAAGGCCATACCGTCTAGGACATTGGAGACCAGGCCATACCTTCTAGGACATTGGTGACAAGGCCATACCGTCTAGGACATTGGAGACCAGGCCATACCGTCTAGGACATTGGAGACCAGGCCATACCTTCTAGGACATTGGAGCCCAGGCAATACCGTCTAGGAGATTGGGGACAAGGCCATACCGTCTAGGACAATGGGGACATGGCCATACCGTCTAGGACATTGGAGACCAGGCCATACCGTCTAGGACATTGTGGACAAGGCAATACCGCCTAGGACATTGAGGATAAGGCCATACCGTCTAGGACATTGGAGACCAGGCCATACCGTCTAGGACATTGAGGATAAGGCCATACCGTCTAGGACATTGGGGACAAGGCAAGACCGTGTAAGACATTAAGGGAAAGACCATACCTTCTAGGACATTGGAGACCACGCCATACCGTCTAGGACATTGGGGACAAGGCCATACCGTCCAGAACATTGGGGGCAAGGCCATACCGTCTTGAACATTGAGGACAAGGCCATACCGTCATGGACATTGGGGAGAAGGCAATACCGTCTAGGACATTAAGGGTAAGACCATACCTTCTAGGACATTGGAGACCAGGCCATACCGTCTAGGACATTGAGGATAAGGCCATACCGTCTAGGACATTGGGGACAAGGCCATACCGTCGAGGACATTGGTGACAAGGCTATACTGTCTAGGACATTGGGGACAAGGCAAGACCGTGTAAGACATTAAGGGAAAGACCATACCTTCTAGGACATTGGAGACCACGCCATACCGTCTAGGACACTGGGGACAAGGCCATACCGTCCAGAACATTGGGGGCAAGGCCATACCGTCTTGAACATTGAGGACAAGGCCATACCGTCATGGACATTGGGGAGAAGGCAATACCGTCTAGGACATTAAGGGTAAGACCATACCTTCTAGGACATTGGAGACCAAGCCATACCGTCTTGGACATTGAGGACAAGGCCATACCGTCTAGGACATTGGGGACAAGGCCATACCGTCTAGGACATTGGAGACCAGGCCATACCGTCCAGGACATTGGGGACAAGGCAATACCGTCTAGGACATTAAGGGTAAGACCATACCTTCTAGGACATTGGACACCAGGCCATACCGTCTTGGACATTGGAGACCAGGCACTACCGTCTAGGACATTGGGGACAAGGCAATACCGTCTAGGACATTGGAGACCAGGCCATACCGTCTAGGACATTGGAGACCAGGCAATACCGTCTAGGACATTGAGGACAAGGCCATACCGTCTAGGACATTGGGGACAAGGCAATACCGTCTTGGACATTGAGGACAAGGCCATACCGTCTTGGACATTGGAGACCAGGCCATACCGTCTAGGACATTGGAGACCAGGCCATACCGTCTAGGATATTGGGGACAAGGCAATACCGTCTTGGACATTGGTGAGAAGGCTATATCATCTAGGACATTGAGGACAAGGCCATACCGTCTAGGACATTGGAGACAAGGCCATACCGTCTAGGACATTGGAGACCAGGCCATACCTTCTAGGACATTGGAGCCCAGGCAATACCGTCTAGGAGATTGGGGACAAGGCCATACCGTCTAGGACATTGGGGACATGGCCATACCGTCTAGGACATTGGAGACCAGGCCATACCGTCTAGGACATTGGGGACAAGGCAATACCGTCTAGGACATTAAGGGTAAGACCATACCATCTAGGACATTGGAGACCAGGCCATACCGTCTTGGACATTGGTGACCAGGCCATACCGTCTAGGACATTGGGGAGAAGGCAATACCGTCTAGGACATTGGACACCAGGCCATACCTTCTATGACATTGGAGCCCAGGCACTACCGTCTAGAACATTGAGGACAAGGCAATACCGTCTTGGACATTTAGGACAAGGCCATATCGTCTAGGACATTGAGGGTAAGGCCATACCTTCTAGGACATTGGAGATCAAGCCATACCGTCTTGGACATTGGGGACAAGGCAATACCATCTAGGACATTGGAGACCAGGCCATACCTTCTAGGACACTGGGGACAAGGCCATACCTTCTTGAACATTGAGGACAAGGCCATACCGTCTAGGACATTGGGGACAAGTCAATACCGTCTAGGACATTAAGGGTAAGACCATACCATCTAGGACATTGGAGACCAGGCCATACCGTCTAGGATATTGGAGACCAGGCCATACCGTCTAGGACATTGGGGACAAGGCGATACCGTCTTGAACATTGAGGACAAGGCCATACCGTCTTGGACATTGGGGACAAGGCAATACCGTCTAGGACATTAACGGTAAGACCATACCTTCTAGGACATTGGGGACAAGGCAATACCGTCTTGGACATTGGGAACAAGGCAATAACTTCTAGGACATTGGAGACCAGGCCATATCGTCTAGGACATTGGGGACAAGGCAATACCGTCTAGGACATTGGGGACAAGGCAATACCGTCTAGGACATTGGGGATAAGGCCATACCGTCTAGGACATTGGAGACCAGGCCATACCGTCTAGGACATTGAGGATACGGCCATACCGTCTAGGACATTGGGGACAAGGCCATACCGTCTAGGACATTGGTGACAAGGCTATACCGTCTAGGACATTGGGGACAAGGCAAGACCGTGTAAGACATTAAGGGAAAGACCATACCTTCTAGGACATTGGAGACCACGCCATACCGTCTAGGACATTGGGGACAAGGCCATACCGTCCAGAACATTGGGGGCAAGGCCATACCGTCTTGAACATTGAGGACAAGGCCATACCGTCATGGACATTGGGGAGAAGGCAATACCGTCTAGGACATTAAGGGTAAGACCATACCTTCTAGGACATTGGAGACCAAGCCATACCGTCTTGGACATTGAGGACAAGGCCATACCGTCTAGGACATTGGGGACAAGGCTATACCGTCTAGGACATTGAGGACAAGGCCATACCGTCTAGGACATTGGAGACCAGGCCATACCGTCTAGGACATTGAGGACAAGACAAAACCGTCGAGGACATTAAGGGTAATACCATACCTTCTAGGACATTGGACACCAGGCCATACCGTCTTGGACATTGGAGACCAGGCCCTACCGTCTAGGACATTGGGGACAAGGCCATACCGTCTAGGACATTGGAGACCAGGCCATACCGTCTAGGATATTGGGAACAAGGCAATACCGTCTTGGACATTGTTGAGAAGGCTATATCATCTAGGACATTGAGGACAAGGCCATAACGTCTAGGACATTGGAGACCAGGCCATACCTTCTAGGACATTGGAGCCCAGGCAATACCGTCTAAGAGATTGGGGACAAGGCCATACCGTCTAGGACATTGGGGACATGGCCATACCGTCTAGGACATTGGAGACCAGGCCATACCGTCTAGGACATTGGGGACAAGGCAATACCGTCTAGGACATTAAGGGTAAGACCATACCATCTAGGACATTGGAGACCAGGCCATATCGTCTTGGACATTTGAGACCAGGCCATACCGTCTAGGACATTGGAGACCAGGCCATACCGTCTAGGACATTGAGGACAAGGCCATACCGTCTAGGACATTGGGGGCAAGGCCATACCTTCTATGACATTGGGGACAAGGCCAACCGTCTTGGACATTGAGGACCAGGCCATATCGTCTAGGACATTGGGGACAAGGCCATACCATCTTAGACATTGAGGGTAAGGCCATACCGTCTAGGACATTGGGGACAAGGCTATACCGTCTAGGGCATTGAGGGTAATGCCATACCTTCTAGGACATTGAGGACAATGCAATGCCGTCTAGGGCATTGAGGGTAATGCCATACCTTCTATGACATTGAGGACAAGGGATACTGTCTAGGACATTGAGGGCAAGGACATACAGTCTAGGACATTGAAGGTAAGGGAATGCCGCCTAGGACATCGAGTGCATGGCCATACAGTCTAAGACATTAAGTGCAGGGCCATACGGTCTAGGTTATTTAGGGTAAGGCCACATAGTCTAGGAGATTGAGGGTAAGGCCATACCGTGTAGGACATTCAGGGTAAGGCCATACCGTCTAGGACATTAAAGGCAAGGCCATACCGTCTAGGACATTGAGTGCAAGGCCATACAGTCTAGGACATTAAAGGCAAGGCCATACCGTCAAGAACGTTGAGGTAAGGCCATACCGTACAGGACATTGAGGGCAATGCCATACAGTCTAGGACATTAAAGGCAAGGCCATACCGTCAAGAACGTTGAGGTAAGGCCATACCGTATAGGACATTGAGGGCAAGGCCATACAGTCTAGGACATTAAAGGCAAGGCCATACCGTCAAGGACATTAAGTGCAAGACCATACAGTCTAGGACATTAAAGGCAAGGCCATACCGTCTAGGACATTGAGGATGTATGCATACACAGCTCCACTTCCTGTTGCGGGCATTGAGTGCACTGTGTTGCCATCTCTCAGGGTGAAGGTAACTGGTGTTCGCCATGAGGCCGTATACCCAATCAGGTCTTCTTTTGATACGATGCCACCTGGAATGAACCACAGTTGAGAGAGATCGGACTTGTTGTGGTTTTAGCCTACTCAGAGATAACAAACGACACATTAACATTTATGCGTTGGAATACATCCTTCACCATTCTCCTCCATCACACCATTCAACACCATTCACCATTCTCCTCCATCTTATCAAACAACACCATTCACCAGTCTCCTCCATCACACCATTCAACACCTCTCAACATTCTCCACCATCAGACCATTCAATACCTCTCACCATTCACCTCCATCACACCATTCAACATCACAAACTATTCTTCTCCATCACACCATTCAACAACACTCACAACTCTCCTCCATCACACAATTCAACACCTCCCACCATTCTCCTCCACCTCATCATTCAACACTACAAACAATTCTTCTCCATCACACCATTCAACAACACTCAACTCTCTCCCCAATCACGCCATTCAACACCACTCACCCTTCTCCTCCATCAAACCATTGAACGACACTCATCACGTTCCTCCGCCACACAATTCAAGACCATTTTCCTACATCTCACCATTCAACACCATTCTCCTCAATCACACCATTCAACAACATTCTCCTCCATCTCACCATTCAACAACACTCAACACTCTCCCCATCACATTATTCAACATCACCCACCATTCTCCTCCATCTCACCATTCAACACCTTTCTCCTCGACCTCATCTTTCAACACCTCAGACCATTCTCCTCCATCACACCATTCAATACCATTTTCCTCCATCACACCATTCAACAACATTCAACACTCTCCCCATCACATCATTCAACATCACCCCTCATTTTCCTCCATCTCACCATTCAACACCATTTTCCTCCATCTCAGCATTCAACACCTTTCTCCTCCACCTCATCTTTCAACACCTCTGACCATTCTCCTCCATCTCACCATTCAACACCATTCTCCTCCATCGCACCTTTCAACACCATTCTCCTCCATCACACCTTTCAACATCACCAACCATTCACCTCTATCTCACCTATCTTCTCCCCTACCCCGCCCATTCAACAACACCCACCATTTTCCTTTATCTCAGTCACTATGGCATCAGTCAGGCTGCCGTTATAGAAGGCCGAGGCCCCTTCAGTAGCGACAGTCTCCAGGGTGTCTGCGAGTTTTGGATACTTGACCGTGTCTCCAGCCTTCACCATGGCACCAGTCGTATGGTTGAAGTACATTCTGGTGTGGAGTAATAAAACAGTTACAAAGTAATACAATAAAACGTTGACATATTCAGATGTAGGGTGGAAGTACATTCTGGTGTGGAGTAAATAAAACAGTTACAAAGTAATACAATAAAACGTTGACATATTCAGATGTAGGGTGGAAGTACATTATGGTGTTGAGTAATAAAACAGTTATGCAGTAATACAATAAAACTTTGACATATTCAGATGTAGGGTGGAAGTACATTCTGATGTGGAGTAAATAAAACAGTTACAAAGTAATACAATAAAACGTTGACATATTCAGATGTAGGGTGGAAGTACATTCTGGTGTGGAGTAAATAAAACAGTTACAAAGTAATACAATAACACGTTGACATATTCAGATGTAGGGTGGAAGTACATTATGGTATGGAGTAATAAAACAGTTATGCAGTAATACAATAAAACGTTGACATATTCAGATGTAGGGTGAAAGTACATTCTGGTGTGGAGTAAATAAAACAGTTACAAAGTAATACAATAAAACGTTGACATATTCAGATGTAGGGTGAAAGTACATTCTGGTGTGGAGTAATAAAACAGTTATGCAGTAATACAATAAAACGTTGACATATTCAGATGTACGGTGGAAGTACATTCTGGTATGGAGTAATAAAACAGTTTCGCAGTAGTACAATAAAACTTTGACATATTCAGATGTAGGGTGGAAGTCGATCTAGTATGGAATGATAAAAAAGCTACACAGTAAGACAATAAAACGTTGACATATTCAGATGTAGGGTGGAAGTCGATCTAGTATGGAATGATAAAACGGCTACACAGTAATACAATAAAACGTTGACATATTCAGATGTAGGGTGGAAGTCGATCTAGTATGGAATGATACAACAGCTACACAGTAAGACAATAAAACGTTGACATATTCAGATGTAGGTTTAAAGTTCATTCTGGTATACGTGAGGTGAAATTGGGTTTAACGTCGCGTCCAAGATTATTGCACCTATATAGCGACGTGCATGCACGTGTGTGTGTGTGTGTGGCTGTTTGTACTAGTCCGGACTGATGCCGATTTATAGTGCTAGCTCAATGAGATACCATGCCGCAGTTTAACATGGATACCCCACTCAGACACAGTATACTGACTCCGAGCCGACCAGTCCTTCTTTAAGGCCCTTAATGCCGAGCGCCAGGCAGGGTAAACAACAAGTACCATCTTTTAACGTCTTTTGGTATGACGCGGCCGGTTTTCGAACCCCGGACCTTCCGCCCTCCGGGCGGACGCTTTACCACAAGACCACGGAGGCGGCCATTCTGGTATAGAATAGTAAAACAGTTATGCACCAATAGAACAAAACATTGATATGTACAAATTGTTTGCAGCCTGAATGGACAACACGGCAACCCTCATCAAGCCAGAGTGAGTGAGTGAGTGAGTGAGTGAGTGAGTGAGTGAGTGAGTGAGTGAGTGAGTGAGTGAGTGAGTGAGTGAGTGAGTGAGTGAGTGAGTGAGTGAGTGAGTGAGTGAGTGAGTGAGTGAGTGAGTGAGTGAGTGAGTGAGTGAGTGAGTGAGTGAGTGAGTGAGTGAGTGAGTGAGTGAGTGAGTGAGTGAGTGAGTGAGTGAGTGAGTGAGTGAGTGAGTGAGTGAGTGAGTGAGTGAGTGAGTGAGTGAGTGAGTGAGTGAGTGAGTGAGTGAGTGAGTGAGTGAGTGAGTGAGTGAGTGAGTGAGTGAGTGAGTGAGTGAGTGAGTGAGTGAGTGAGTGAGTGAGTGAGTGAGTGAGTGAGTGAGTGAGTGAGTGAGTGAGTGAGTGAGTGAGTGAGTGAGTGAGTGAGTGAGTGAGTGAGTGAGTGAGTGAGTGAGTGAGTGAGTGAGTGAGTGAGTGAGTGAGTGAGTGAGTGAGTGAGTGAGTGAGTGAGTGAGTGAGTGAGTGAGTGAGTGAGTGAGTGAGTGAGTGAGTGAGTGAGTGAGTGAGTGAGTGAGTGAGTGAGTGAGTGAGTGAGTGAGTGAGTGAGTGAGTGAGTGAGTGAGTGAGTGAGTGAGTGAGTGAGTGAGTGAGTGAGTGAGTGAGTGAGTGAGTGAGTGAGTGAGTGAGTGAGTGAGTGAGTGAGTGAGTGAGTGAGTGAGTGAGTGAGTGAGTGAGTGAGTGAGTGAGTGAGTGAGTGAGTGAGTGAGTGAGTGAGTGAGTGAGTGAGTGAGTGAGTGAGTGAGTGAGTGAGTGAGTGAGTGAGTGAGTGAGTGAGTGAGTGAGTGAGTGAGTGAGTGAGTGAGTGAGTGAGTGAGTGAGTGAGTGAGTGAGTGAGTGAGTGAGTGAGTGAGTGAGTGAGTGAGTGAGTGAGTGAGTGAGTGAGTGAGTGAGTGAGTGAGGTTTTACGCCGCTTTTAGCAATATTCCAGCAATATCACGGCGGGGGACACCAGAAATGGGCTTCACACATCGTACCCATGTCGGGAATCGAACCCGGGTCTTCGGCGTGACGAGCGAACGCTTTAACCACTAGGCTACCCGACCGCCCCTCATCAAACCAGAAATCAGACAGGTTAATGCGTTACACTAGTTGTCATGACAGACTGATAATCGCTCGTGCCCATCTGACCAGCAACATTCAATTAATGCGAAGGCTGGTTGTACATCACATGGGAGCTTTATGACCAACGTCCCACGCCGTTGGGTCGTTCAGTTAGACGTACTCACATAACTCACCGAGTCATACCAACCGAAATATTTGTGGTCTCGAACGACAAGCATAGGTTGATTCGGCCCTTAAATTCGAGCCGGGAGTTCTCATATCGTTTTGTTGTACAAGTCACAAGCATGACTGCAACTATATTTTAGGCAACAAAGAAACACGTTGTGCTTACGTGAATGAACCGTTTCGAAGTAGGTCGACGGATCTGGATATTCCATAAGCCGTTGCCTTGGTTAACTTCACTCCTTCTCTGCACATCTTGATTGTTGGCTCAAAGAGATATTTCCACGGTAGTTTACCAAATCTCTGGTGGGCCTCCCAATACCCCATTAGTTCCCCCGGCACAGCAATAGCAAGGCCACCTGAAATTGAATATTGTGTCATATAATTATTATCGCTATGGCTCATGATACAGAGACCATTGGTGATGTAATGCATGACGTCACAGTAGATGACGTCACATCAAGACCGAACACTGTTGACGCCATGTTGACACTTTCAGCCTGCTACATGGTTTTAAATATTTGAGAAACATCCTGATTATCATTCCACGTTTGTCAGTACCGTATATATAGAGACATGCATCACTCACTCACTCACTCACTCACTCACTCAGATAACTTCTCACTCCCTCCCTCACTCCCTCACTCCCTCCCTCACTCACTCACTCACTTACCCACTCACTCACTCACTCACTCACTCACTCACTCACCCCTCTCCCAATTCCATAAAAATAAATTAACATTTGGCAAGAAATACTATAGAAAAATACCAGTATTTCATTCACCAAAAATCCAAAATCGAAATATTTTCATCGTCGTAGATTATTTCGCGTTGCCGCATGTGCAGCCTCACTTGTGACTGACAACAACTTGTGCTTCTGTTATAGTGATTTTACCTGCGCTTCGGAGTAAAAATTGATATTTCATTGACGAATGATTATGGTTTGGATGCAGAAATGTCCGGAAGGTGTTGTTAAACGTACTGGATATTTCTTGTACTTCCATAAAACGACACGTTCCCTTTCCTGTCCCGAATAAAGAAATGTGTGAATAGTATTCATGGTGTCCCCATCGGGATGTCACTCACTCACTCACTCACTCATACCTACCCATTGTTCCCTTAGATTTCCGGTGACATGATGCCCACAAGGCCAGTTGATATACAGGAAAATTTAAAAGTGACGTTTACAAAGTATGACAAGAGATAACGGAACTACTTTTCATGGGCCATCCCCGAGTAGGACAATTCTACTGCACTTTGGTCACTTTGGTCACTGTATTCCAAAGTAATTGGTAATTACCGGTGTACGAAATTTATTTCTTACATGCTAAGTACTTCAAAAAGGCCACTGGTGCATGTATCGGATGTTCTAAACAAGGAGATTGATACAGTCGACAAACCGTGTCTGAAGTAGATGAGAGGGACAGAAAAGCGGTAATAGCAAAAAAGGTCGGTTTTTTTGTTTCCAGACAAAAACATTTCCACCGACCAATGAAGGGGTTAATCATCTCTAAACAAATTGTTGACAGAGATACGTGACATCCATGACATAATCTCTATTCATATTAGGCTATATAGTCATATTGTAATCTGAGTTGTAGCAAAATGACATATGCAGGGTTTCAGGCGACGCAGAAAGGCGAGGTGAGGTGAGGTGAGGTGAGGTGAGGTGAGGTGAGGTGAGGTGAGGTGAGGTGAGGTGAGGTGAGGTGAGGTGAGGTGACATCTGCAGGGTTTCAGGCGACGCAGAGAGGTGAGGTGAGGTGGGGTGACATCTGCAGGGTGTCTGGCGACGCAGAACGGTGAGGTGAGGTGAGGTGAGGTGAGGTGAGGTGAGGTGAGGTGAGGTGAGGTGAGGCGAGGTGACATCTGCAGGGTTTCAGGCGACGCAGAAAGGTGAGGTGAGGTGAGGTGACATCTGCAGGGTGTCTGGCGACGCAGAAAGGTGAGGTGAGGTGACATCTGCAGGGTTTCAGGCGACGCAGAAAGGTGAGGTGAGGTGAGGTGACATCTGCAGGGTTTCAGGCGACGCAGAAAGGTGAGGTGAGGCGAGGTGACATCTGCAGGGTTTCAGGCGACGCAGAAAGGTGAGGTGAGGTGAGGTGACATCTGCAGGGTGTCTGGCGACGCAGAAAGGTGAGGTGAGGTGACATCTGCAGGGTTTCAGGCGACGCAGAAAGGTGAGGTGAGGTAAGGTGACATCTGCAGGGTGTCTGGCGACGCAGAAAGGTGAGGTGAGGTGACATCTGCAGGGTGTCTGGCGACGCAGAAAGGTGAGGTGAGGTGACATCTGCAGGGTGTCTGGCGACGCAGAAAGGTGAGGTGAGGTGAGGTGAGGTGAGGTGAGGTGAGGTGAGGTGAGATTGGGTTTAATTCGCGTTCCAAATTATCTCCGGGCGGGCGCTCTAACACTAGACCACAGAGGCGGCCGCGACGCAGAAATGCGCCCGCAGAAGGCACTAATGTATAGAATGGACGCAGAAACAAATATGTCTCGTATAGCACTAAATTCTTGGCAAAAGCATATATAGTTCCTGTAATTAAAGTAATTATTAAATCTTACAGTACGTTACGCTTCGCCATTTTTTTACTTTACAGGACCCTCATATTTCTGTATGGACTCTTGAATTAATTATCTGGGGTCCGATGGATTTTAGTTTTGTAGGTCAAGGTACAACGCTGGATTTCAGTGACCAATCAATTTCACGTCACTCTTATCTGCAAAGTTTAAAAAAAATTATTTTTATTCAATTCAGTATATGAAGTAACATGACATGTAATATACTTATTAAGTATAGGATAAAACACGTCAGAGGGTTATTATGCTATTTAAAACCCGCATCCCGGGGGATTTTCCGAGGGAAAGGGGTTTTAAATATCATAACAACCCGAGGGGAAGTGTTTTATCTTACTTATAAACCGATTTTGAACCTTAAAATTATCCCCAAACTAAATTTCAACTCGTTATAAGTGTACAATAAAGCACGTCCAAGGGTTCTTATCACATTTAAAACACGCATCCCAAGGATAACGGTTTTAGATATAATAAAAACCGACGGGAAGTGTTTTATCTAACTTATGAACCGAAAAAAGAAACTTAAAACAACATTTATCAACATTTTTATGTTTCGAACATACTTCCCATGAACCTTAGGAAACGGGCGTAAAATATATGTTGCTGGCGTACGTTCTTGAAAAGGACATTCTAAAAAGCAGTACGGCCAATCAACACCCCTGTAGCCTTGTGGTACACTCACTGGGCTACAGATATGAAGGTTACGAGTTCTATCCTCGGGAATACATAGAAAACATTTGACATATGATTTTTACTTTTCATTACATGTTACAATCTGAACGGAAGTTATATTAATAAAATCCCTTGGATATTATAACACATTATGTATTGGAGAAAACACGCTTACGAGGTTTTGGTAGACAGAGCATGCCCTGGGGAGAGGGAAAAACCAAGGGGACATGCTCTGTCTACCGAAACCGAGGGAAAGTGTTTTTCCATACTTATAAATCGTCTAAATTGATTAAATGTTATAACGAGCATCTATAAATGAGGCGCTTAATTATAGCGCTTCCTTGAAGACGGGATATCATAACTTGCACGTGAAATTCGCTGACTTGCCAGGCGTTCAAGAGCACTTGGATGTGTCAACAACAAAACACAACTAAAATACTTACTTTTAAATGAAAGTGAAATCATCGGTTTCTAAATGTTTGTGTTGCAATATTCCACTTCTTTTAAACCTTTCAAAACGAAAATTCGCGAATTTTAAAGGTGTTTTTTTGCTTTACAAGATTGTCGACTTTAAACAATCCAACTGTTACATAGAGGTAGTTGTGACGTAACGGCTAGCAGTTACTGCACGTGCAAATTGTGCAGCATTGATAAGCACTTGTTTAAAAGCATGTGTTTTGAAACCTCGCTGTCCTTTCACCGGAGACTCTGAAGTGATGTCGCTTTTAAATGTCCACGCGGAACTGTACACATGACATTCAATTTTAATTGAATTAAAATTTTGAATTGCTACTTGTTGTAATTTTTTCAGTTACTTGGTTAAAACTGGGATTTGAGGTTTTACATTCAACGTAAAACCTCCCGAACGAAAATAAGACCTCACAATAGGTTTTAATGCCTATAGAAAGAACTCTCTTACTTAATAAAGATTCCAATGAAAAGGTTTATAAACAGCAAATATGACTTGAATATCCTATAAAATCCAGGGGATATTTTATATAATCCCAGGGACATTACAACGTCCCTGTTTATGAGATTTAACCCGACTGGAGAACAATGGGATGACGTCACCGGAGGTTTATAAGCGTAGTTACATACCTATACAGCAGACACATTTTAGTTGTCTGGTCAGGACACAGGTGTACAGCAATGTTAACATTATCTGCAAAGTTCATAACGATAGCGTTACGAGGGGCGTTCAATAAGTTTTGCAACTTCAATATAAGACCAAGTCGCAGAATATCTTTTGCACTTTTTCAATACAACCACTATTCACCTCAATACACTTATTTCATTTGTCCTTCAAGCTTTTAATACCACTTTCATAGAAATCCCCAGGAAATAGGAAATAGTGACTGGGGACTAAGTCTGGGCTGTAGGTCGGGTGATTTAACTGTACAGCCGTGACTTAGCCCCCAGTGACTATTTCCTGTTCCGGCAAATGAAATCTGCCCTATGTGGAAGACGCTTCCAGGATGACGAAGACATAAAGGCTGCCACAGAGGCGTGGTTAGAGGGCCAATCTGCGGATTTCTATAAAAGCGTAACTTTCGTTTCGATTTTATATTTAAATAATCTTCTGTTTTGTTTTTCAAAAAGCTATAAAAATTTCACTTGTTTAAATTTGATTTAATACACACACTTTATATCATATAAATACAAATATTACTCAATTATAAAATTTAAAACATGCACCCTGGTGACGAAAGTCATAATATGACATTCGACAAAGAATACATTCTCCTTCAAAGGCAATCACCACAAGATGATTGTATCTGCTCTGAGAGCAAAATGGACCTGTGACGGTTAGATGCCCTGTTTTCTTGCAACTCACCGTTGAGGGATGCACCCTTCTCTCGTTCAACGTACATGGTGCTGTTGGCGGCCAAGGGCGCCCTTTCTCGAGCATCCAAAACGTGTGACATACCCGATGTTCTAGTCACACAAAAGAAGAAATGTTTGACAAGAGTTACCTTGCAACGTTTCAAAGAACTCAAAGTAGCAAACAAAACAAACTGGGGGAAGGGTGATAGCGGGATCATGATAAACTTGTCTTTTAAAAAAAGGCTTCGCCTCAGGTCAACAAAAGAAAAAATATGTTGTGGGTCAAAGAAAAATGTTTGGTTCCTCAAATCTCAGAACACAACGCTATATTTTGACAGGAATTATGAACTATTATTTCAATAATAAAATTCCTGGTCCTCATCCAGGTCCTGTATTGCTGTTCAGTGAGTGAGTTGAGTTTTTAGCATTATACCAGCAACATAACGGCAGAGGACATCAGACATGGGCTTAGCACTTTCTACTCGTGTGGGGATTCAAACCCGGATCTTCGGCGTGACGAGTAAACGCTTTAACTACTAGGCTACCCCACCGCCCTCATTTTCAAGATAATATTACTTTTTTGTCAGGTTCTCCTTTGATTTTCGTTCATGTTTATTGTTACTGTAGATTGAATTCAAAACAATCCCATGGCAATATATGTTTTAGATATATCTATTTAAATCAATCATTTCTTAGTCATTATTCTAGTGTATTGTAAACCAAACATTTTACAAAGACTATCTGGCAGCATTGTTCTTTAATAATGAACAAGGAACAATGTACAGTTTCTTATGGACAGATGCCATTATATGCCAGATTTTATAATTTATGAGTTATTTTTCTGGGTTCCTGGAATTATCTTACCTGTTGTAAACCGTCATAAAGAATCCTCCTCCTAGTCCGCAACTTTGTGCATTTAAAACACAGGAACATACTGCAGTGGCTATAGCTGCGTCCACTGCGGATCCACCTCTGGCCAACACGTTCCTGAGAAACAAACACATCTACTTGACAAGGCATAACAGACGGGGTTACCATCAAAGGAGGCACTGGTGGCATCAAATCACTGTATAGAGTGGTGTCCCTTGGATGTACCAGGAACATATGGCCGTTAGTTCGTTTGTACACTCTGGGGCGTATGTGTACATATTGTGACGGTTCACACTGGGACGTGTACGTATTGTGATCATACACTCTGGGACGTGTACGTATGGTGACGATACACTCTGGGACGTGTACGTATGGCGATGATACACTGTAGGACGTGTACGTATGGTGATACACTCTGGGACATGTACGTATTGTGACGGTATACTCTGGGACATGTACGTATGGTGAGGATATTCTCTAGGACGTGTACGTATGGCGAGGATACTCTCTAGGACATGTGCGTATGGCGAGGATACACTCAGGGACGTGTACGTATGGTGATGCACTATGGGGCGTGTATGTACAATGATGATACACTATGGGACGTGTACGTATGGTGATGATACACTCTGGGACGTGTACGTATGGTGATGATACACTCTAGGACGTGTACGTATGGTGATACACTATGGGACGTGTATGTACCATGATGATACACTCTGGGACGTGTACGTACGCTGATTATACGCTCTATGACGTGTACGTATGGTGATGATACACTCTGGGACGTGTACATATGGTGATACACTCTAGGACGTGTACGTATGGTGAGGATACACTCTGGGACGTGAAGGTTTGGTGATGCACTATGGAACGTGTATGTAACATGATGATACACTCTAGGACGTGTACGTATGGTGATACACTCTGGGACGTGTACGTAACACGATGATACACTCTAGGACGTGTACGTATGGTGATGCACTATGGAACGTGTATGTAACATGATGATACACTCTGGGACGTGTACGTAACACGATGATACACTCTAGGACGTGTACGTATGGTGATGCACTATGGAACGTGTATGTAACATGATGATACACTCTGGGACGTGTACGTATGGTGATACACTCTGGGACGTGTACGTACGGTGCTGATACGCTCTAGGACGTGTACGTATGGTGATACACTGCGGGACGTGTACGTATGGTGATGATATGCTCTAGGACGTGTGCGTATGGTGATACATTCTGGGACGTGCACGTATGGTGACGATACACTCTGGGAAATGTACGTATAGTGACGGTACACTCTGGGACATGTACGTATGGTGACGATACACTATGGGACATGTACGTATTGTGACGATACACTCTGGGACGTGTACGTTTTTTGACGATATACTCTGGGACATGTACGTATTGTGACGGTAAACACTGGGACATGTACGTATGGTGATGATACCCTCTGGTACGTGTACGTATGGTGACGATACACTCTTGGACATGTACGTATTGTGACGATTTACTCTGGGACATGTACGTATGATGACGATACACTCTGGGACGTGTACGTTTGGTGATACACTCTCGGACATGTGCCTATGGTGATGATACAATGTAGGACATGTACGTATTGTAACAATACACTCTGGGACATGTACGTATGGTGACGATATACTCTGGGACATGTACGTATGGTGACGGTACACTCTGGGACGTGTACGTATTGTGACAATACACTCTGGGACATGTACGTATGGTGACTATATACTCTGGGACGTGTACGTATGGTGACGATATACTCTGGGACGTGTACGTATGGTGATACCTTCTCGGACAAGTGCGTATGGTGATGATACACTGTAGCACGTGTACGTATGGTGACTGTATACTCTGGGACATGTACGTTTTGTGACGATACACTCTGGAACATGTACGTATTGTGACGATACACTCTAGGACATGAACGTATAGTGGTTATACACTGTAGGACATGTACGTATGGTGGTGATACACTCTAGGACATGTACGTATGGTGACGATGCACTCTTGGACGTGTACGTATAGTGGTGATACACTGTAGGACATGTACGTTATGTAAGCATACGCTCTAGGACGTGTATCTATGGCGACGATATACTATGGGACGTGAACGTACCGTGTTGATACGCTCTAGGACGTGTACGTATGGTGACGATACACTCTAGGCCGTGTACGTATGGTGATACACTCTGGGACGTGTGTGTATGCTGATGATACCCTCTAGGACGTGTACGTATGGTGATACACTGCGGGGCGTGAACGTACGGTGATGATATGCTCTAGGACATGTACGTATGGTGATACACTCTGGGACGTGTACGTATGGTGACGATATACTCCGGGACATGTACGTATGGTGACGGTACACTCTTGGACGTGTACGTATTGTGACAATACACTCTGGGACATGTACGTATGGTGACGATATGCTCTGGGACGTGTACGTATGGTGACGATATACTCTGGGACGTGTACGTATGGTGATACCTTCTCGGACAAGTGCGTATGGTGATGATACACTGTAGCACGTGTACGTATGGTGACAATATACTCTGGGACATGTACGTTTTGTGACGATACACTCTGGAACATGTGCGTATTGTGACGATACACTCTAGGACATGATGAACGTATCGTAGTTATACACTGTAGGACATGTACGTATGGTGACGATGCACTCTGGGTCGTGTACGTATGGTGAGGATACTCTCTAGGACATGTACGTATGGTGGTGATAAACTCTTGGACGTGTACGTATGGTGGTGATACACTGTAGGACATGTACGTATGGTAAGGACACGCTCTAGGACGTGTATCTATGGCGACGATACACTCTTGGACGTAAACGTATGGTGATGATACACTCTAGGACGTATACGTATGGTGATACACCCTGGGACATGTACGTACGGTGATGATACCCTCTAGGACGTGTACGTATGGTGATACACTGGGGGACATGTACGTATTGTGACGAAATACTCTGGGACATGTACGTATTGTGACGAAATACTCTGGGACATGTACGTATTGTGACGGTACACTCTGGAACGTGTACGTATGGTGACGATACACTGAGGGACATGTACGTATAGTGACGATACACTGAGGGACATGTACGTATTGTGACGGTACACTCTAGGACATATACGTATTGTGACGGTAGACTCTGGGACGTGTACGTATGGTGACGATACACTGAGGGACATGTACGTATTGTGACGGTACACTCTGGGACATGTACGTATTGTGACGGTACACTCTGGGACATGTTCGTATTGTGACGATACACTCTGGGACATGTACGTATTGTGACGAAATCCTCTGAGACATGTACGTATGGTGACGATACACTCTGGGACGTGTACGTATTTTGACGATAAACTCTGGATCATGTACGTATTTTGACGGTAATCTATGGGACATGTTCGTATTGTGATGATACACTCTGCTACGTGTACGTATGGTGACGATACACTCTTGGACATGTACGTATTGTAATGAAATACTCTGGGACATGTACGTCTGGTGACGATACACTCTGGGACATGTACGTATTGTGACGGTACTCTCCGGGACATGTACGTATGGTGACGATACACTCTGGGACATGTACGTATTGTGATGAAATACTCTGGAACATGTACGTATGGTGACGATACACTCTGGGACATGTACGTATGGTGACGGTACACTCTAGGACGTGTACGTATTGTGACGAAATACTCTGGGACGTGTACGTATGGTGACTATACACTCTAGAACATGTACTTATGGTGGTGATACACTCTAGGAAATGGACGTATGGTGGTGATACACTCTAGGACATGTACGTATGGTGACGATGCACACTTGGACGTGTACGTATGATGATACATTCTGGGACGTGTACGTTGGAAAGTGATACACTCTGGGACGTGTACGTATGGTGGTGATACACTCTGGGACGTGTACGTATGGTGATGATACACTTTTGGACGTGTACGTATGGTGATGATACACTCTAGGACGTGTACGTATGGTGATGATACACTCTGGGACGTGTACGTATGGCGAGGATACTCTCTAGGACATGTACGTATGGTGTTGATACACTCTGGGACGTGTACGCATTGTGATACACTCTAGGACGTGTACGTATGGTGATGATACACTCTGGGACATGTACGTATGGCGAGGATACTCTCTAGGACATGTACGTATGGTGTTGATACACTCTGGGACGTGTACGCATTGTGATACACTCTGGGACGTGTACGTATGGTGATGATACACTCTGGGACGTGTACGTATGGTGATGATATACTGTAGGACGTGTACGTATGGTGGTGATACTCTGTAGGACGTGTACGTATGGTGACACACTCTCGGATATGTTCGTATGGTGATGATACACTGTGTGACATGTAGGTATGGTGATACACTCTGGGACGTGTGCGTATGGTGTTGATACTCTGTAGGACGTGTACGTATGGTGAAGATACGCTCTGGGACGTGTACGTATGGTGATGATGCACTCTGGGACGTGTACGTATGGTGATGATACACTTTAGGACGTGTACGTATGGTGATACACTATGGGACGTGTGCGTATGGTGATGATATACTGTAGGACGTGTACGTATGGTGGTGATACTCTGTAGGACGTGTACGTATGGTGATGATACGCTCTGGGACGTGTACGTATGGTGATGATGCACTCTGGGACGTGTACGTATGGTGATGATACACTATAGGACGTGTACGTATGGTGATACACTCTGGGACGTGTGCGTATGGTGATGATATACTGTAGGACGTGTACGTATGGTGGTGATACTCTGTAGGACGTGTACGTATGGTGATGATACGCTCTGGGACGTGTACGTATGGTGATGATGCACTCTGGGACGTGTACGTATGGTGATGATACACTATAGGACGTGTACGTATGGTGATACACTCTGGGACGTGTGCGTATGGTGATGATATACTGTAGGACGTGTACGTATGGTGGTGATACTCTGTAGGACGTGTACGTATGGTGATGATACGCTCTGGGACGTGTACGTATGGTGATGATGCACTCTGGGATGTGTACGTATGGTGATGATACACTCTAGGACGTGAACATATGGTGGTGACACAATCTGGGACGTATACGTAACGTGATCATACACTATGGGTCGTGTACGTAACTTGATGATACACTACGGGACGTGTACGTATGGTGATGATACACCCAGGGACTTACGTTCCAACTTCGGAGCAGCGCATAGTATCAGAGGCGACAGAGGCAAATCTGAAACTTCCTGTTTTAGATTTCCCTTCTTGTACCGATGGCGGAGCCGCTGTCGTCATCTCTGCTGATGCAACCGCCCTCTGACGTGGACCTAGACCGTAGCCAAGACCAAATGCTAGACCGAGAGCTATCAGCATCGACCCGGCGAGGATAGCGTATATCAGAGGCCTACTGGCGGATCTGTAACATAACGTGTGATGTTAATTATCATATCATGTTGCACGGATCGGATGGAAGATCAGGACCAGCTACATGTTACACAGAAGGGGTGGACCATCAGGACCAGCTACATGTAGACAGAACGGATGGAAGATCAGGAACAGAAAGGGTGGACGATCAGGAACAAGTATATGTTAGACAGAAGGGATGGACCATCAGGACCAACTACATGTTAGTCAGAAGGAATGGAAGATCAGGACCAGCTACATGTTAAACAGAAGGGGTGGACCATCAGGAACATGTATATGTCAGACAGAAGGGGTGGCTCATCAGGAACAAATATATGTTAGACATAAGGGTTGGACCATCAGGAACTATATATGTTAGACAGAAGGGGTGGACCATTAGGAACATATATATGTTTGACAGAAGGGTTGGACCATCAGGAACATATCCATGTTAGACAGAAGGGGTGGTCCATAAGAAACAGGAGTAAAATGCAACCACGTGTCTGAAACTTGAATTTCACTATTTATAGGGTAGGGGAACTGCAGCAACACGTAAAGCACGCTTTCCTTGTGGCATCTGGACAAATTTGGGTTCATGAAACTATGGAAGCCTAATTCGGTTACATCATAATATTTCGTATTTCTGATTCCCACACGTGAAATCAAGAGACTATGATTATGGTGGCGCTTAACTTTTGTGCATGTGTATATGTTAGACAGAAGGGCTTGACGATCATGAACATATATGTTAGACAGAAGGGGTGGACGATCAGGAACATAATTATATATGTTAGACAGCATAAGGGGTTGACGATCATGAACATAAATATGTTAGACAGAAGGGATGGAGGATCAGGAACATATACGTTAGACAGAAGGGGTGGACGATCAGGAACATAATTATATATGTTAGACAGCAGAAGGGGTGGACGATCAGGAACATATACGTTACACAGAAGGGGTGGACGATCAGGAACATATATATGTTTGACAAAAGAGGTGGACCATCAGGAACATATATATGTTAGACAGAAGGGATGGACCATTAGGAACATATATATCTTAGACAGAAGAGGTGGACCGTCAGGAACATATATATGTTAAACAGAGGGTTGGACCATCAGGAACAAGTATATGATAGACAGAAGGGGTGGACCATCAGGAACATATACATGTTAAACAGAAGGATTGGACCATCAGGAACATATATATGTTTGACAGAAGGGTTTGACCATCAGGAACATATATATGTTTGATAGAAGGGGTGGACCATCAGGAACATATCCATGTTAAACAGAAGGGGTGTACGATCAGGAACATATATGTTTTAGACAGAAGGGGTGGACCATCAGGAACATATATATGTTTGACAGAAGGGGACGACCATCAGGAACATATATATGTTAGAGAGAAGGGATGAACGATCAGGAAGATATATATGTTAGACAGAAGGGGTGGACCATCAGGAACATATATATGTTTTACAAAATTGGTGGACCATCAGGAACATATATATGTTTGACAGAAGGGTTGGACCATCAGGAACATATATATGTTTGACAGAAGGGGTGGACGATCAGGAACATATCCATGTTAAACAGAAGGGGTGGACGATCAGGAACTTATATATTTTAGACAGAAGGGGTGGACCATCAGGAACATATATATGATTGACAGAAGGGGTGGACCATCAGGAACATATATATGTTAGACAGAAGGGGTGGACCATCAGGAACATATATATGTTAGACAGAAGGGGTGGACCATCAGGAACATATCCATGTTAGACAGAAGGGGTGGACGATCAGGAATATATTTTTTTTAGACAGAAGAGGTGGACCATCAGGAACATATATATGTTAGAGAGAAGGGATGGACGATTAGGAAGATATATATGTTAGACAGAAGGGGACGACCATCAGGAACATATATATGTTAGAGAGAAGGGATGGACGATTAGGAACATATATATGTTAGACAGAAGGGGTGGACGATCAGGAACATAAATATGTTAGGCAGAAAGGGTGGACCATCAGGAACAATTACATGTTAGACAGAAGGGGTGGACGATCAGGAACATATATATGTTTGACAAAAGGGGTGGACCATCAGGAACATATATATGTTAGACAGAAGGGGTGGACGATCAGGAAGATAGATATGTTAGACAGAAGGGATGGACCATTAGGAACATATATATCTTAGACAGAAGGGGTGGACCATCAGGAACATGTATATGTTAGACAGAGGGTTGGACGATCAGGAACAAGTATATGTTAGACAGAAGGGGTGGACCATTAGGAACATATACATGTTAAACAGAAGGGTTGGACCATCAGGAAGATATGTATGTTAGACAAAAAGGTGGACCATCAGGAACATATATATGTTTGGCAGAAGGGGACGACCATCAGGAACATATATATGTTAGAGAGAAGGGATGGACGATCAGGAAGATATATATGTTAGACAGAAGGGGTGGACCATCAGGAACATATATATATGTTTGACAGAAGGGGTGGACCATCAGGAACATATATATGTTAGACAGAAGAGATGGACCATCAGGAACATATATATGTTTGACAGAAGGGGTGGACCATCAGGAACATATATATGTTTGACAGAAGGGGTGGACCATCAGGAACATATATATGTTTGACAGAAGGGGTGGACCATCAGGAACATATATATGTTTGACAGAAGGGGAGGACCATCAGGAACATATATATGTTAGACAGAAGGGGTGGACCATCAGGAACATATATATGTTTGACAGAAGGGGTGGACCATCAGGAACATATATATGTTTGACAGAAGGGGTGGACCATCAGGAACATATATATGTTAGACAGAAGAGATGGACCAGCAGGAACATATATATGTTTGACAGAAGGGGTGGACCATCAGGAACATATATATGTTAGACAGAAGGGGTTGACCATCAGGAACATATATATGTTAGACAGAAGGGGTGGACCATCAGGAAGATATATATGTTAGACACAAGGGGTGGACGATTAGCAACATATATATTTTGACAGAAGGGGTGGACGATCAGGAACATATATATGTTAGACAGAAAGGGTGGACCATCTGGAACATATATATGTTTGACAGAAGGGGTGGACCATCACGAACATATCCATGTTAAACAGAAGGGGTGGATGATCAGGAACATATATATGTTAGACAGAAGGGATGGACCATCAGGAAGATATACATGTTAGACAGAAGGGGACGACCATCAGGAACATATATATGTAAGACAGAAGGGGTGGACCATCAGGAACATATATATGTTAGACAGAAGGGGACGACCATCAGGAACATATATATGTTAGAGAGAAGGGATGGACGATTAGGAAGATAGATATGTTAGACAGAAGGGGTGGACCATCAGGAACATATACATGTTAGACAGAAGTGGACGACCATCAGGAACATATATATGTTAGAGAGAAGGGATAGACGATTAGGAAGATAGATATGTTAGACAGAAGGGGTGGACCATCAGGAACATATACATGTTAGACAGAAGGGGCGACCATCAGGAACATATATATGTTAGAGAGAAGGGATGGACGATTAGGAAGATAGATATGTTAGACAGAAGGGGTGGGCGATCAGGAACATATATATGTTAGACAGAAGGGATGGACGATCAGGAACATACATATGTTAGACAGAAGGGATGGACCATCAGGAACATATATATGTTAGACAGAAGGGGTGGACCATCAGGAACATATACATGTTAGACAGAAGGGGTGGACCATCAGGAAGATATCCATGTTAGACAGAAGGGGTGGACGATCAGGAAGATTCCCATGTTAGACAGAAGGGGTGGACGATGAGGAAGATAGATATGTAAGAGAGAAGGGGTGGACCATCAGGAACATATACATGTTGGAAAGAAGGGGACGACCATCAGGAACATATATATGTTAGAGAGAAGGAATGGACGATTAGGAAGATATATATGTTAGACAGAAGGGGTGGACGATTAGGAAGATACCTATATTAGACAGAAGGGGTGGACCATCAGGAACATATACATGTTAGACAGAAGGGGTGGACCATCAGGAACATATATATGTTAGACAGAAGGGATGGACGATCAGGAACATATATATGTTAGACAGAAGGGGTGGACCATCAGGAACATATATATGTTAGACAGAAGGGATGGACGATCAGGAACATATATATGTGAGACAGAAGGGGTGGACCATCAGGAACATATACATGTTATACAGAAGGGGAGGACCATCAGGAACATATATATGTTTGACAGAAGGGGTGGACCATCAGGAAGATAAATATATAAGAGAGAAGGGGTGTACCATCAGGAACATATATATGTTTGACAGAAGGGGTGGACCATCAGGAACATATATATGTTAGACAGAAGGGATGGACGATCAGGAACATATATATGTTAGACAGAAGGGGTGGACCATCAGGAACATATATATGTTAGACAGAAGGGATGGACGATCAGGAACATATATATGTGAGACAGAAGGGGTGGACCATCAGGAACATATACATGTTATACAGAAGGGGAGGACCATCAGGAACATATATATGTTTGACAGAAGGGGTGGACCATCAGGAAGATAAATATATAAGAGAGAAGGGGACGAACATCAGGAACATATATATGTTTGACAGAAGGGGTGGACCATCAGGAACATATACATGATAGATAGAAGGTGTGGACCATCAGGAAGATATATATGTTTGACAGAAGGGGTGGACCATCAGGAAGATATATATGGTAGATAGAAGGGGTGGACCATCAGGAACATATACATGTTAGACAGAAGGGGACGACCATCAGGGACATATATATGTTAGAGAGAAGGGATGGACGATTAGGAAGATATATATGTTAGACAGAAGGGGTGGACCATGAGGAACATATATATGTTAGACAGAAGGGGTGGACCATCAGGAACATATATATGTTAGACAGAAGGGGTATGGGGATCAGGAAGATATACATGTTAGACAGAAGGGGTGGACCATCAGGAACATATATATGTTAGACAGAAGGGGTATGAGGATCAGGAACATATATATGTTAGACAGAAGGGGTGGACCATCAGTTACATATATATGTTAGACAGAAGGGGTGGAGGATCAGGAAGATATATATGTTAGACAGAAGGGGTTGACCATCAGGAACATATACATGATAGATAGAAGGGGTGGACCATCAGGAACATATATATGTTTGACAGAAGGGGTGGACCATCAGGAAGATATACATGTTAGATAGAAGGGGTGGACCATCAGGAACATATACATGTTAGACAGAAGGGGACGACCATCAGGGACATATATATATGTTAGGCAGTAGGGGTGGACCATCAGGAACATATATATGTGTTAGACAAAAGGGATGGACCATCAGGAACATATATATGTTTGACAGAAGGGGTGGACTTTATTGCGAGCGTTCAGCCATACGTTGGGCAAACGAGATGCACTGTTTAAATCTATTTGTTATCTCTCACGTGTCACATATGAAAGCTGAGAAACTGAACTAGGCTGTCTGTCTGCAACCACGATACTGTCGTCAATGACAGTGAAATTAAGTCTATTATTGTTAGTGAGCTGGGCTTTCTGTCTATAACCATCATACTGTCGTCAATGACAGTGACATTAAGTCTATTATTGTTTGTGAACTAGGCTTTCTGTCAACAACCACTTTATAGTGTCTTCAATGACAGTGACATTAAGTCTATTATTGTTAGTGAACTAGGCTTTCTGTCAACAACCACTTTATAGTGTCTTCAATGACAGTGACATTAAGTCTATTATTGTTAGTGAACAAGGCTTTCTGTCAACAACCACTTTATAGTGTCTTCAATAACAGTGACATTAAGTCTATTATTGTTAGTGAACAAGGCTTTCTGTCTATAACCACTATACTGTCGTCAATGACAGTGACATTAAGTGTATTATTGTTAGTGAACTAGGCTTTCTGTCAACAACCACTTTATAGTGTCTTCAATGACAGTGACATTAAGTCTATAATAGTAAGTGAGCTGGGCTTTCTGTCTATAACCACTATACTGTCTTCAATGACAGTGACATTAAGTCTATTATTGAAAGTGAACAAGGCTTTCTGTCTATAACCACTATACTGTCGTCAATGACAGTGACATTAAGTCTATTATTGTTAGTGAACTAGGCTTTCTGTCAACAACCACTTTATAGTGTCTTCAATGACAGTGACATTAAGTCTATTATTGTTAGTGAACTAGTCTTTTGGTCAACAACCACTTTATAGTGTCTTCAATGACAGTGACATTAAGTCTATTATTGTTAGTGAACTAGGCTTTCTGTCAACAACCACTTTATAGTGTCTTCGATGACAGTGACATTAAGTCTATTATTGTTAGTGAACTAGGCTTTCTGTCAACAACCACTTTATAGTGTCTTCAATGACAGTGACATTAAGTGTATTATTGTTAGTGAACTAGGCTTTCTGTCAACAACCACTTTATAGTGTCTTCAATGACAGTGACATTAAGTCTATTATTGTTAGTGAACTAGGCTTTCTGTCAACAACCACTTTATAGTGTCTTCAATGACAGTGACATTAAGTCTATTATTGTTAGTGAACAAGGCTTTCTGTCAACAAGCACTTGATAGTGTCTTCAATGACAGTGATATTAAGTCTATTATTGTTAGTGAACTAGGCTTTCTGTCAACAACCACTTAAAAGTGTCTTCAATGCACGACAAACGAGAGTGACATGAAGCATCTGCCGAACATCTGCCGAGGTGAGGTGAGGTGAAATGGGGTTTAACGTCGCGTCCAAGATTATTGCACTTATATAGCGACGTGCATGCACGTGTATGTATGTGTGAGGCTGCTTGTACTAGTCCGGACTGATGCCGATTTATAGTGCTAGCTCACTGAGATACCATGCCGCAGTTTAACATGAATATCCCACTCAGACACAGTACACTGACTCCGAGCCGACCAGTCCTCGTTTTAGCCCCTTAATGCTGAGCGCCAGACAGGGTAACAACAAGTACCATGTTTTAACGTATTTTGGTATGACGCGGCCGGGGATCGAACCCCGGACCTTCCGCTCTCCGGGCGGACGCTCTACCACTAGACCACGGAGCCGGTCCATCTGCCGAGATTGTGGTCTACGACGACTCCTTTGTATGTCGACGATGTCCTCCTTGAACCACCCAGATCGATTCTGATAAAGGACTGGACATTTATAATAGGGTGTGTGTTCTTTTGTTCTTCTTTCTTTCTTTTTTTGGGGGTGTGGGGGGTGGGGGGAGGGGGGGGGGGTGTTGGAGATTGGCCTTAGGCTATCAAGCTTTGCCACACACACACATCATTTTCTGTAATATAATTTTCATGACCCCCCATCCTATATCAAATTAGTTGCCCCTACATATTGTCCCATATAATTAATGACCTTTCTCTTAGTCTAATACAGCGCCGAGCAGCCCAAGAACTCAGCTACATGTCGATATGCTTTCCCTTCACGGTCTCACAACGACTTGAAAGTTTGCCAACTGCGTTGTGAAATGGTTCATTTTTTAGAGCCCGGTTTTCGCGTTGTCGGGACCGTTCAACAGGTTTGACTGGCTTGATGGATATTGACGCCCTGTCTATCGGGTATCGGTGGTCGTTGGTCGCATGAACCTTATAGGGTTGTATGCGTTTTAACAGCTTTAGACTACAGATGCAGATATTAGTCGTGATAGGACAGTAAGGCTACTTCATTTGGTACCGTTTGAGTTAAACATACATTTTATATTATCCACAAGCAAACGGATTGGACACGTGTCTTCACAACTTTGGTAACCCTCTCCCGAAATATTGAAATGACTGACGTTGAATAATATCACAATTGAGGCTATACACAGAGAAGCAGCAGGAAACAGAGTCTTGCATTTATTTAAATCTTTTAGTGTAGTTGATATACGTATGGACATACCCTTGAAGATCCGGGGTAGAAGAGGTCTTCAGCAACCGAAGCTTGCCGTGAAAGGTGACTACGTAAAAGGTAGGCTTAAGCACCTGCAGTCCCGGTACTGATGGCATGGCGTATATATAAGTGTAACCTCCAGTGTGCAAGACCCGTAAAGATCCGGGATAGAAGAGGTCTTCAGCAACCCATGTTTGCTGTAAAAGGCGACTATGCTTGTCGTAAGAGGCGACTAACGGGGTCGGGTGGTCAGGCTTGCTGACCTGATTGATACATGTCATCGTATCCCAATTGCGTGGATCGATGCTCATGATGTGAATCACTGGATTGTCTGGTCCAGACTCCATTATTTACCGACCGCCGTCATATAGCTAGAATATTGCTGAGTGCGGCGTTAAACAACAAACAAACAAACAAACAAACAAACCAATGGACAGAGTGAAACTGCACATTGTCGTAGTTGCGCTGAGCTCCTATTTATAAATTATGACATACCAGGGACTAGCTTCTTTTCACAAATGGCAGTTATGCTATTGAACATGATATTTGTCAAGTTTGATAAAATGCACATTGTTTTAAAAAGTGATTACGTTTTCACACTGAGAACTGATGGGAGATGGGATCTTCCAATAGTAATTGTTGAATGTAATTATCTTACCCCTTAAACGTCCCTTCTTCCTCGTCGCCTTCCATCGTATATCCACTACGTGTTGGATCAGTGCTGAATGTGCGTAACTTTAGGCGTGTTAAAGTTAAGCTTGACCTATAGGGCATTCACGGGTTATGCCGTCTATTATTCGGGGGAGTTGGGATTTTCTTTAGAGACACAATATCATTTCTGTGAAAGGACGAGCTGAACTATGCCTTTCAATGGATATTGGTTCAGTATGGAATCCTAGAAGGGACATTGTCGCGTTGTCGCGTTGTCGCCCTTACAAAAACAAGCAAAAAGTGTTAAAATTAAAGCACGACAATGCGACAACGCGATATTACCGCCATTTGTCGCATTGTCGCGTTGTCACGCCTTGAATAATATCGCTTTTCATTTTACCAAAGGGCGACAATGCGACAACGCGACATCTTTCAAGGTCAAAATATGTCGCGTTGTCGTCCCATAAAAAATGTGTAAAAAAGGCGTTAAAATGCGCAAAAATGCGACAGATTGATTATGTCGCATTGCCGCGTTGCCGCCCTTTTCGATTAATGCAGTTGGTGTCGCATGTGTTTTAAGTGAATTAAGTTACGTATGCGCAGCAATGGTTATACTCCTTTTCAAACCCCAGTGGTCTTTTGCTTGCTCCAATTGTTCTAAAACCATAGTAGCAATGGCAGCGTGGGTTGCCTTTCTCAAAATTAAACACATCTTTCATCGTTGCTCTAGAAATTAGTTCATATATCGTTATTGTCTTTGTCGTTTTTTATAAACCAAACGTATTTTCACGACAAGAAACAAACACTTTGCATTTCTATGTAATCTAATAACGGTCATATTAGACGGCTCAATTCGTTGTGCAGAGTTGCATCCCCGAGACGTACCAGATAACTGTGATCGTGGGTTCGAATCCCACCACCATACACTGTTACGTGTCGATTCCCAAATTGAAACAATATGTTAACCCTGAAAAAATTACGTAAAAGAGCTTAATGTGAAACCAACAAACAACCAACAAATGGTGTACAATTAATAATTGTATTACAAACTTAACTCGGTTTACAAATCAACACAAATTACTGCACAACAATTACAGTAGCAGTACACAATAAAGTGGTTGTACAATATTCGATGGCAATATATGATATGAAGGCAGTGGTCAGTGTCCAGTACGAAAATACAGTGGTGATAGCAAAAGTCAGTGATGATAGTATATTACCCCAGCGGCGACGGTTGTCAAGGTTCTGAGATGGGTCTGGGGTGATCCTCACACGAAAGCTGGTCTTGTGTATTCTCAGATGAAAATGTGTAATGAAATGTGTGAGATGCGAGAGGCATGCTCTTGTCCCCTTATACACCGCCTAACTCGCTTCCAAAACTTTCTACACAGTGATAGACCCAAGCTTGCTGTAAAAGGTGACTATCCTTGTCGTTAGAGGCGACTAACGGGATCGGGTGGTCAGGCTCGCTGACTTGGTTGATGCATGTCCTCGATCCCAATTGCGTGGATCGATGTTCATGATGTGAATCAGTGGATTGTCTGGTCTAGACTCGATTATTTAAAGACCGGCGTCATATAGCTGTAAAATTAAACAACAAACAAACAAACCAAAAAATCCCAATGCGCCTGAACCACTACTGCAGCAACTACAACTACTACCAAATGCGACAAGATGCTACGACATCACCTACTACACAACTAGTAATCTTGACAATCTTGAACACAACAACAACAGGTGACTTGAGGTGAAATTGGGTTTAATGTCGCATCCAAGATTATTGCACGTGTGTGCGTGTGTGGCTGCTTGTACCACTCCGGACTGATGCCGATTTATAGTACTAGCCCACTGAGATACCATGCTGCAGTTTAACATGAATACCCCACTCAGACACAGTATACTGATTCCGAGCCGACCAGTCCTTGTTTTAGCCCCTTAATGCCTAGCGCCAGACAGGGTAACAACAAGTACCATGTTTTAACGTCTTTTGGTATGACGCGGCTTGGATCAAACCCCGGACCTTCCGCTCTCCGGGCGGACGCTCTGCCACTAGACCACGGAGGCGGTTACACCAACAACAACTACTGCTACAACTACTATAACCACCAATACTACAACTGTGTAAGGAGTCAACTCGTCACAGCACGATAAAGGACTGTCTGTTTTCACTCGTACACACAATGGTTTGTGATTGAGTGAGTCAACGGGTGAGTATGTTATTTTCCGCAATATCCTAGTCATTCACAGAACGATAAAGGAGGCCAGCATTTGTTCTATTCACGAGGTGGTGAGGTGAGGTGAAATTGGGTTTAACGTCGCGTCCAAGATTATTGCACTTATATAGCGACGTGCATGCACGTGTATGTGTGTGTGTGGCTGCTTGTACTGGTCCGGACTGATGCCGATTTATAGTGCTAGCTCACTGAGATACCATGCCGCAGTTTAACATGAATACCCCACTCAGACACAGTATACTGATTCCGAGCCGACCAGTCCTTGTTTTAGTCCTTAATGCTGAGCGCCAGACAGGGTAACAACAAGTACCATGTTTTAACGTATTTAGGTATGACGCGGCTGGGATCAAACCCCGGACCTTCCGCTCTCCGGGCGGACGCTCTACCACTAGACCACGGAGGCGGTTACACCAACAACAACTACTGCTACAACTACTATAACCACCAATACTACAACTGTGTAAGGAGTCAACTCATCACAGCACAATAAAGGACTGGAAGTTTTCAGTCGTACACACAATGGTTTGTGATTGAGTGAGTCAACGGGTGAGTATGTTATTTTCCGCAATATCCTAGTCATTCACAGAACGATAAAGGAGGCCAGCATTTGTTCTATTCACGAGGTGGTGAGGTGAGGTGAAATTGGGTTTAACGTCGCGTCCAAGATTATTGCACTTATATAGCGACGTGCATGCACGTGTATGTGTGTGTGTGGCTGCTTGTACTGGTCCGGACTGATGCCGATGTATAGTGCTAGCTCACTGAGATACCATGCTGCAGTTTAACATGAATACCCCACTCAGACACAGTATACTGATTCCGAGCCGACCAGTCCTTGTTTTAGCCCCTTAATGCTGAGCGCCAGACAGGGTAACAACAAGTACCATGTTTTAACGTATTTTGGTATGACGCGGCTTGGATCAAACCCCGGACCTTCCGCTCTCCGGGCGGACGCTCTACCACTAGACCACGGAGGCGGTTACACCAACAACAACCACTGCTACAACTACTATAACCACCAATACTACAACTGTGTAAGGAGTCAACTCGTCACAGCACGATAAAGGACTGGAAGTTTTCAGTCGTACACACAATGGTTTGTGATTGAGTGAGTCAACGGGTGAGTATGTTATTTTCCGCAATATCCTAGTCATTCACAGAACGATAAAGGAGGCCAGTATTTGTTCTATTCACGAGGCTTCTGGTCCTATTTAAACATACGTCTGAAGAAGAAAATATCCGGGCATTAAAATCTCACACGAATATCAGCACACACAAACACAGACGTATAGAAAGGGGTGGTGTCATGTGATATATACGACTACCGTGTTTGAATTGGATAGTGTTGTCACTGCACAAGATGTAAACAGTGAGCGTTCGAAATTCATAACAGACTGCAATACAGTTGTCAAGGTTTCACGTGTATGTGGTATTATGAATATTTTTTTAATGATAACATGTATAAAGTTGTAAACATGCTACACATCAAATAGTGAAAATTCACAAGTGAGTGAGTGAGTTGGGTTTAACGCCACTTTTAAAACTATTCCAGTTATATCGCGGCGTGTCAGCTTAATGTGGGAGGAAAGCCCGAAGTGATGCAGGTCTCAGACGTTTACCACTTCGGTGAAACCCACGAGCACGGGTATGGTGCTGACAAACCTAGAAACATAATCGTGGCGAACCGAGATTCGAACCCACAATCATAGGTTACTGGCGTGCCCAAGGGACGCATCTCTGCACAGCGAAACGCGGCGCCTCAGACGACTGGGCCACCCGTGCCCCCGAAAATTCACAAGTACTTTGATATATTATTTTTTTCAACACAAATAATGCTGGTGTCATTGTTGGGCGTGAGACCCGACGTTGCTGAAACACAAACCTGCTCTGAATACATAATGCGTTGTGAACGAGATTGCAACACGACTTATATCCGACAGCCATTTCTTTTCAAATACACTCCAAATAGATCGCCCCACTTTTAGTACCCCAAGTTTATTCAATTCGATTCTTTATTTGTGCAGATGTAGGCCATGAGCCCGTGGTTTATTATCTAAGACAGCATACAGCTCCGTCCAGCCATACATTATAACACTGCATAGAGTAGTAGTCAGTTGGCCAGGGGTGAAAAATAAGATTTTCGTTCCCACATTTTCCTGTATACCTTAAACCTTTTCTATTGCATGAAGGAGGTATCTGTACACAATTTTCATTGGGTAGTAAGCTTGCAAGTGTGTGCAGGAATTTTTCAGGGGATCAAAATTGCATAAATTGAAGGAAAAATGCATAATTTGACAAAATTGGCTGTTACAGTTTTATTAAGTCATTAAACTATCCAAATTATGTCTTTGATTACAGGTAATGTGTTCAGTTATCTGAATTTGGCAAACATTTTGTTTCATTTAACTATTATTCTAATTCTCAGTGGAGACATTGGTAAAAATCATGTTTTTTTACTTAATATTCAAATCTTGAGTAGGTAAAACACTAATTCCATTGAATTGTGACAATAAAACCACTATAACTGGGTATTAAAATCTGCCTGAAACAGTGTACTATCCTATACGAAAAACAAAATGAAAATGTGGTACATAGGGGCTGAGATATTACAATGTTACCCCACCCCCCAAAAAACAATTTTGACGGAAATTGCTTATTGAGATATGGTGGTAGATGATGCTGCTATAGTGGATGGGTGGGATATAGAGCTTGCAGAACGTACTACTATAAGTCAGGAAACATCGATTGCAGGGTAGATAAAGGTAACTTGATTTATTAAAAATGTTATATTTCAGGTAGACATGATCATGTGTGATTTTCCAAGTGGCGGATGGACACAGTGTTTCTGGAGTTAGAACATTTGGAAGAGATCTTTGTACACATTGCAGATTAGCAGAAAATGGTGC